AAATTAAATATACTACATAAACTCTAACTTTTTACTCTCAAATTAAATTTCTACTCCATCTCACAAATCATTGATGTAGACACTTTTCTTGAGATCCACATGATGAAAATATCATATCACTATTTGTTACATCATGAAGTAAAAGTGATGGAGTAAAATTTGGGAGTACAGTACATGTACTAGAACTCATAAGTTATAGTGTTATTGTAAGTTCGGTCATTACTTGTTAATCGTGTTCACTTCTCGTCCCTAAGCTATAAATGACGTTGCAAAATTTGTCCCTAATGTTTTGATAGAAAAAGAACACAATTTGTAATGTTAGTTATAGTTTAGGAACGATAAGTGAACATGACCAACAAGTAGAAACGAATCTTACAATTATCCTAAAATTTAAGGATAAAAAGTCCGGGTGTCTCTCTTTTTGAATTATGCTTGTCACTAATTTGAATCAAGTTCAATTTAGACATTTAATTATTTACACGCCACTATTTTGCTATTATATAATCGAGTTCTACTCCATGGACTCCTAAATCTTTTATTTAATTAATTACACGCCACTATCGCCTTGGTTGCCTAATGTCCTGAATCCTGAAATACAATATGATATGCCTCCCTATTTAAACGATGCTAAAGTCTCAGGTTTAATTGATCAGGATTCTAAGATCTGGGATAAGGATATCTTGGAGGACATCTTTATACCTAGGGATGTCAATTTAATCTTGAAGGTCCCAGTGAGTCCAATGTTGATTTCTGGTATTGGGTTGATGATAATCGAGGGCTTTATTCGATTAAGAATGGCTATAGGCGCTTTCTGAGGAGTTTTAGTCCACTCGTGGATGATTTCAATAATTGAAACAAGTTATGGAATCTTAAAACCCCCTAAAGTGGAAAATTTCTTTATAGCGTGCAGTGACGAATACTATTCCTACTACCACCAATCTGTTAAACAAAAAAGTTGATATTGACCCTGTTTGCCCAGTAATTTGTGCATCTCATATTAAGGATGTGCTACATGCTCTAGTTTTATGTGATTTAGCTAAACAAGTTTGGTGTGCTTCGCAGATTCCTATTCCTTGTGCTATTGGCTTGAGCTTTGCAGGTTGGTGTGACCAATTGTTTAATTCTTTGCCTCAGGATGCTCTTGTTCGTGCAGCAGGAATTCTATACGCCATATGGATGGCCAGAACAATGCTGTGTGGAAGGGAATGGTTACCCGTCAGCATATCATTCTGTTGGAAAAAATAGCTTAAAATGACATGTTAAGTAGCTATTTTGTGGTACAATTATCTGTGGGGTTCACTTTTGATTTGGATCGGGTCAAAGTGATTTCGGGTTCTTCGTATTCAACAAAATATTATTTGAGTACTGAAAGTACATAATTTTATACAATGTACATTCAGTACACAAATGATATACTTTTAGTATATTAAAAATACACTTTTTGTTATGATTCATATAATAGTGTGTGAACCATCCACACAATAATTTGTTGATATTATTTCAAGTGGCTGTTAATAAGGGTATGGCAAGTGGGAACAAGTCTCAACTAGTCAACTCTCAAGTGGCAAATTAATACTAGAAATTCAAATCAAGAGCGTTGATCGTTGGGTATTTACTTCACATTAACTACACATGTACGCCCTTAATATTTTATGCGAATATGCAATTCTTAAAATTTTAATCAATATTTTTAGCCTTCAAATGTTTGGGATTTGTTGGTTGCACATTAATTGTAGGGAAATGTTACGTTGTCGAGTATAGTATATTTAATTTGTTAATTCTTTAGAAAATTCACCCTCCATGAGACGGATTACATTTTTCATAAATATTATATTTTTTTTTCATAAGGATTAATCTTTTCATCTCATTTTATGTGTCTAGTTCAATTGATAGCTAATGTTTGATTGAACTTATTTTTAATTTAAATTTTCATAATATTAAGTTTAGTATTAGTATATAAGATTTATATATTTAGAAATTACATTAAAGATATTATAGAATTTATTTCAATTGCAGTACTTCTCTCCCATGCGGTCGTCCAGACTCATATGCACCATTGGATGTGTTCAGATCAACGATTGAAAGTCAATGAAGATGGGGAAAAACGTTGTAGCATTTTGGTAATTTACTGCACCATGTATATTTCGGTACCGGTAGTGCATTAAGTGCTGGAGTGTGGTGCACTTATGAGTGCTCTGTGCTGCAGTTTTAAGTGTTGGTGGTCTGTGGTGCACTCTAATTGAAAAAATATGATGACATTTTGATAATTTCCTGCACCATGTATATTTCAGCGGTGCACTAAATGGTATGGTGCACTAATGGGTACTATGTGGTGCACTTTTGAGTGAACTGTGGTGTATGTGTACCACAAAATGCTGGTTTTTGGTGTACTAATGAAGAATACGGTGGTTCTCTTGAAAGGACCATGGTTGGTTAAGTTTCGAAAAAAGGATCATGAGTGGTTAACTTGGACCACGAATGATTTAATTTAAAAGTCGAAGGACTACAGATAGTTTATTTGAAAGTTTAGGACTAAACGTAGCAAAACCATTATACTGCTTAACTCAATAAAAATATTATTATATCCAATTAAATTAATAATTAAGAATGAAATTTGAAAATGCTTCTGCTTCGTACTCCTTCCAGCATGTTATTAGCAACTTGAAAAATGAAATTTTAAATCATAATTTTCCTGTAGCGCATATATCCTCTACCAACCCAATCCATGTTGTTCCAATATGGTGTGCCTCACAATTACTTTGCCATTAAGTTCATCGTATTCAATAATTTCTACATTGTCATACGCAATACTATATACTAAATGATTTGATGAAATTATGTTATATAATTTTTCTAGGGGAGAAAATATATAATTTCACTGAATATAACAGGATTAATTGCGCATTTGATTCTTAAAATTAAAATAGCTAGCTAGGTTGAGATGTGTAGGGGTAACGGGTAAGACACTGAAACCTCTAATTATGCGAATTGCTATTCGGAAAACTCGCAATCACTGTTTGATAGCGTGTATTGGGTAAATCTTGTCTTGTTCCTAGCCGATGGTATGCACTGAGTAAATCATGTCTTTGTGACCCTAACCGACAAAAGATCGCAAGAAAATAAATCAAATTAGGTTACCCATAGCAAAGGCCTCATTAAGAGTCAAACTTGTAACTTTGGGAGTATTAAGTCAACACTTTGATAACTTGGCTACATTACCCCACAAAACTTTCTTTTTTTAATTTGTGAAAATCTCATTTAAATTAGTAATTGTATTAGTAATTAACATCAAATAGGAAGTCAATAAGTGCATGGAACAACATTGTTTGAAATAATCTCGTGAGTTTCCTTGCTAAGTAGAGCGATATGATGTGTCAACACTACCAAACGTCCAAACTTAGCTAAAATAATTGTAGTATTATCAACAAATTAAAGAATGTCTTGTTTTATAAGTTTCTTTCCCTATGGTATCACAATCTAATAAATCTTAATCCATGTTTAATATCTACCACCTTCTAAAGTCATATTTGGTATGCTACAATGCGAAACATGAAAATGACTTACTTTCAATCTTGGACTATCAATTCAATAGTTTATAATTTTTCTAAGAACATTTTCAATTTCATCAAACTCCACCCTTCTACGGAGCGTTATACTATGCAACTGTGTGCACCATTGCAGAAACGACGTCGTTTTAACGTTTGACTTAAAAAAAAAATTCAGAATTGCATAACTACACATCTATAATTTCATAACTATAAATTCAGAATTGCATAACTACACATCCATAACTTCATAACTATAAATGCAGAATTGCATAACTACACATCCATAACTTCATAACTATAAATGCAGAATTGCATAACTACATATCCATAACTTCATAACTATAAATGCAGAATTGCATAACTACACATCCATAACTTCATAACTATAAATCCAAAATTGCATAACTACACATCCATAACTTCATAACTATACATTCAGAATTGCATAACTACACATCCATAACTTCATAACTATAAATCCAAAATTGCATAACTACACATTCATAACTTCATAATTATACATTCAAAATTGCATGCATAACTACACATCCATAACTTCATAACTATACATTCAGAATTGCATAACTACACATCCATAACTTCATAACTATACATTCAGAATGTGAAATTATAACTTCATAACTATACATTCAGAATTGCATGCATAATTACACATCAATAACTTCATAACTATAAATCTAGAATTGCATAACTACACATCCATAATTTCATAACTATAAATCTAGAATGTGACATTATAAAATTATGAACATATGTTTACGTAACTAACGGCACGAAAATAATTTTTTTTATTTAAATAAAACGACGCCGTTTTGCATCCGTGTGCACTATGGATGCACAACATAATTTGCCCCCTTCTACATAAGAAGACACTTAAGACATTCTATATCGGATTTAAAAAAGTCAAGCCCAAAATTGGTCGAATTTATAAGTATTTGATTACTAAAAATAAAAATAATACAAAATACTATAATTGAGAAATTAAAAATTGAATCTTGAAAAGGAGCTGGAAGGCAATTGTATTATCAATTCGATCAAAATTATTTTGATTTATATTTGATAGCAGCTATATATATATATATTACTCCTTCCAAATGAATGAATATACACGCATTAGATATACATGCATACATAATATATGTGTGCTATGTAATTTTTCCACTAATCTTTTGAACTGAGTAAAAATGGAAACCACATCTGACTTACGCTTCATAGGGTAAAGCCAAATGTATTTTGAGAAATGATCGATAAAGATTACATTATAGTGGAATTCATCAATAAATCACTCGTTCATAATCTTTACATGGTATCCAGAGCCTAAAATCTCCTACGAAAGAAACTTTTGTTTTTTTTTTTTCTCTCTCCCTTGCTTCCTTCCTACTCAATGGCGTCCACCACCCAAACTACAGTTCCGGCCACCACTGAAGTCATTCAGCTTCACGCTACTACACACTTCCCTATCAAACTCACACCTACGAATTTCCCAGTATGGCGCCGGCAAGTCCACGCTACTCTTGTTGGACTTGATCTCCTGGGATATGTTGACAGTTCCATCATGGAACCAGCCAAGTTCACCGATTCCGCGAACACCGTCGCTAACCCGAGCCATTTTGTTTGGTATCGCCAAGACCAAACTATTGTCAGTGCACTTCTGGGCAGCTGTACTGACACAATCCAGCCGGTCATCTCCTCGGCCACAACAGCCCGCGATGCATGGCAACGTCTCATTGCCAGTTACGCTAGTGCCTCTCGAGGACGCATCATTTCCCTCAAGGCAAAGCTCACCACAGATCCCAGAGGTTCTCGGTCCATTACGGCGTACCTCACTGACATGCGAGCTATCGCTGATGACCTTGCTCTTGCTCAGTGTCCAGTCACTGATGAAGATTTGGTCGTGTATGTGTTAACGCAGCTTGGAGAGGAGTACAACTCCATTATCTCTGCAGTCCGCATTCGTGAAACGCCCGTCTCGTGGGGTGAGCTGGCGGATAGTCTAACTGACCATGAATGCCAGTTGAAGGTTGCTGACACACAACTTGGTGCAAAGGTTGTTTCAACACATCACTGATATTCTAGTTCGGTTTAAGATGGATGGTGCAAAGGTTGTTTCAACACCGCTAGCTACCTCAGACAAGTTGCTACCTGCACCGTCTGGTTCTACGCCGGTTGATATCACTCAGTTTCGGCGTTTCCTTGGCTTGTTGCAGTACCTGGTCATCACTAGGCCAGATATATCCTATGCGGTCAATCGTCTTTCACAGTTCATGCACTCGCCTACAGAGCTGCACTGGTAGGCTGCTAAACGGTTACTTCGGTATTTGAAGGGCACAGTCTGTCATTGCTTGTTTCTCCGGGCTGGCCAACCACTTTCGCTACCTGTGTATACGGATGCTGATTGGGGAGGTTGCACTGCTGATGGCCGCTCCACCACCGCATACTTAGTGTATCTCGGTTCCAATCTCATATCTTGGAAGTCCGCTCGCCAAAAGTCCGTGTCGCGCTCGTCCACAGAGCCTGAGTACCGAGCTTTGGCAAATGCTGCTGCAGAAGTCTTATGGGTAAGGAATTTGCTCTGTGAGCTTCAGTTGCAGCTGGTGAGGCCTCCTATTTTGTTTTGCGATAATCTTAGCACAACCTATGTGTGCAAAAACCCGGTGTTCCATTCGCGTATGAAGCATCTCGCACTTGATTACTTCTTCGTTCGTGACTTGGTTGCTAATGGTTCACTAGTTGTTCGGCACATCCCTTCCAAATATCAGCTAGCTGACCTCCTTACCAAACCCTTGGGCCGGTCCTTGTTTCTTCAATTTCGTTCCAAGATTAGAGTCTCTGACGGATCCTCAATCTTGCGGGGGCGTGTTAAAGATATATGTGGTTGATATCTTCTCTTATTATATTTAGTCCTATTCTAGCTCCTGTATAATAGTTATTAGGCTAGTTGTTGTAACTAATAGCTATCTTCTCTCATTTGTAAAGCTATTTATAGCTGCCTATAGTTTCATCAATAAATCACTCGTTCATAATCTTTACATGTGTCTGTATACATATATACGCATGTGAAAATTGATCAGCTGAATGACCACCTCACCGCTCATAAATTCATCTACACTGATGATATCACTTTGCTAGCTCCCCCATAGCCACTGGCAGCTCTCGTTGCTCAATATGAACCACCTGTTTCTTTACGATTAGAGCAACACAGGTATTCGGGAGCACCTAGTCCTCAAGCAAATGTGGCTTATTTTGATGGTTTAGTTGTTGTCCCGTTCTTTCAGAATTGATTCCCTAACACTGGTGCCACTCACTATGCCACTTTGAATCCCTCCTTACTGTAATAAGTAGAATAGTACACAAGGAATGACACTCTTTAATAGTACATGTTTGAATATTTCTAGTCTTGGGCATACTTCAATATCCTCTTCTTCACGTGGCCTACAATTACAGAATTTGTTACATGTTCCTGCCCTAACCAACTCCCTCTTATTTGTCAAACATTTTGTCACAAATAATAATGTTTTCTTTGAGTTTAACCCTTTTCTGGTTTTGTTTTGTTTTGCTTTTCATTTTTTGTTTTTTGTTTTTTTTTTGTTTTTGTTTTGTTTTTTGTTTTTTGTTTTTTTTTTTTTGTTTTGTTTTTTGTTTTGTTTTTTTATTTTGTTTTGTTTTTTTGTTTTGTTTTGTTTGTTTTTGTTTTGTGTGTGTGTGTGTGAAGGATCTCAACACCAACCAAATTTTTCTTAAGGAAGAAAGCTCGAGGGGGAGGGGAGGTTATATAAACTTCGAATATAAAATCTAGTTGCATTCACTACATCCAAAGCATCTTCAGAAGTTTGGCACAACCGCCTTGGTCACCCTCACTCAAGAGCCTTACACAATATTCTACGTTATTGTCCAATGTCTAAGTCTTTAAATAACGTTAACTCTCTTTGTTTTGCTTTTCAACTAAGGGCCCGTTTAGAAACCTACAAAATGTTTTCCGGAAAATGATTTTTGAAAAATGACTCATTTTTTGAAAAAAAATAATTTTTTTTAGGTGTTTTGCTAAATGTCAGAAAACTATATTTTTTGTCAACTTTGTTGATGATTACTGTCGGTATACCTAGTTTTTTCCCATGAAACTAAAGACAGACATCTATGCCATTTTCCAAAGGTTTTAAGAATTGGTTGAACAGACTTTCTCTAGTAAAATTAAAGCCGTTTAGTCCAATCGAGGAAATGAATACAAAAAATTAGATAAGTTCTTTGTTAGTCTTAGAATAAATCAGCTTCAATCTTGTGCTTACACACATGAACAAAATGGGCATGTAGAAAGACACCATAGGCACATTGTTGAAACTGATCTCACGTTGCTTACCCAAGTCTCTTTTTCTCCTAGGTATTAGGCTTATACCTATGAAATTGTGATTTTCCTTATTAACTGTATGCCTTCTGCAACTCTAAACAATATGAGCCCATACGCCCTCATCAATAATGAAAATCCTGATTATTCATTTCTTTGTGTGTTTGATTGCCTATGTTCTCCTTATATTCGTCCTTACAATAAGCACAAAATAGAGTTTTGTTTTGCCCAATGTCTTTCTTAGTTACCCATAGTTATTTTGAGGATATCGTTGTTTGAATCTCAATAATAGAAAGATTTTTTTCGTACACTATGTCTAATTTGATGAGAATGTATTTTCTTTTGTAGCAATTACATCTCCACAAGTTTTTGTTCGTGCTCGGGATGCAGTACCTTGGGCTGTTCTCAGCATCCCAAGTCCGCTACACTACCAGTGAGAGGACACACTCATGTTACCCAGTGTAATGGTCGTGTCACCAAGCTAGAGAGGGATATGACCGTGACACGTATTGGACACGATCGTGACACAACCATGTTATCGGTCTAGCCAGGGACACGACCGTGTCGCCCATCTCCAGACAGGGACACAGTTGTGTCACCTAGCCAAAAATGGACATGGTCGTGTCGATGGAACTTCCACCCCTGACTGAATTGACACTCGAGCATCCACCAATTGTTCCTTTCAAGTCTGAACGATGCTAACTAGTAGCTCCGACTCAACGAACACATCTTATGGTAATTCGCCACATGACTCGTGGCTCTATAGATAACAAAGCTTTGGTCACATGTGTAGAAGATTTTAAGTCCACCTACTACTCTCAAGCCAAGAAGAGCTCTGCATGGCGAATAACGATGGACCAAGAGTTTAATGTCCTATTGCACAACAACACTTGGAAGTTGGTTCCTTCTGAACAAGATATGAATGTGATAGGATGCAAGTGGGTGTTCCGAGTCAAAAGAAAAACTGATGGATCAATTGAATGCTACAAGGCACGACTTGTTGGCAAATGGTTCAATCAGGTTGAAAGAGAATATTACTTTGACACTTTCAATCTAGTGAGGAAGGCAACTACAATAAGACTTCTTTTATCTCTTGCCAAAACTAAAAGTTGGTCAATCAGCCAGCTTGATGTTCACAATGCTTTCCTAAAGGGATATTATGCGAGAATGTTTTTATGAAGCAACCACTATGGTATATATAAACAAAGACTTTCCTACTCATTTTTGCAAATTGCATAAATCACTATGGCTTGAAACAGGCACCTTGTGGGTGGTTCAAATGCCTTCATGGTTGCTTACATTCAATTAGGTTCATGCTTCGAAAACTGACGTGTGTTTGTTTATCTATTCAACTGCTAACACTCAACTTTATTTATTAGTTTATGTTGATGATATACTAATAATGGGCAATGTCAAATACCTTTTGACTTCAATTACAAATAGGCTAGCTGATGTCTTCAAAATTAGAGATATTGGGCCGCCGAACTTCTTTTTGGCTATGGAGATATTTAACAACTAGGGGGCGATGATCTTGTTAAAAGGTCGGGAATGAAACACCATAAAACAATCTCAACTCCAACTCCAGTTAATAGTAAGCTAAGTGTAACAGCCACAACTCAACCATATGAAAATCCTATACATTACCACAACCTAATCAAGCACTTTAGTACCTAACTATCACTCATCCAGATCTCTCATTTTCAGTCAACAAACTTTGTTAGTTCATGTACTCTCCTAACAATGAGCACTGGCTGGCAATCAAACGAGTTCTAAGGTGCGCCCCAGAGTGTGTTCATCCCTGGCAGACTCATAACTGATAATATTCTTGATGATGCGGAGGTCGGGCATTATTTGAGATGGAAGCGAATTGGGTAAGGATGTTGGGTGGATTTGAAGATGGACATAGCAAAAGCCAATGACATAATGGAGTGGAGTTTCCTGAAATGCATGCTCCGCGGGTTGGGGTTTAAGGAAGGCTAGGTGAGGCTGGTCATGTTGTGTGTCTCCACAGTAAAGTACAACGTGTTGGTAAATGGCATAGAGGTGGAGCAGGTGACTCCTAAAAGAGAGCTAAGGTAGGATAACCCACTATCCCCATACCTCTTTATAATATGTGCAGAAGGGGCTATCCTTTCTATTTAGGGAGGCAGAGAAGGCGGTCTTTATAATATGTGCAGAAGGGGCTATCCTTTCTATTTAGGGAGGCAGAGAAGGCGGTTGTATCTATGGGTTGAGGGTGGTGTGCGGTGCCCCTTAGTGTCGCATATGTTTCTTGCGGACGATTGTGGACGATAGTCTACTGTTCTTTAAAGCTACCTAGGCATGTGTGGTTAAGGAATGTTGGGAGTATTACATACTAGAGATCAGATTGTGCATCTCAAGGATCCGAGGTTGAAAATAAGAATGCAATAATTATGAAGCGCATACACCAGTGGAAGATACATTGTAACCCTACAGGCCATTTCCTGTCCTAACTTAGAAAAAACCTAGAAACCAAACAGAGCCAACTCCTTACAATATAGAGGTGAACGCAAGGGATTCCACCATGTTACAACACAAATTAGCAAAACTTAATATGTTTGTTGTTGGGAAGGAACTAGTATAGGCCCCTCTCCCTCCTCTCAACTCTCAAGTCTCAGGCTAGACATCTTTACATCATTTTCACTTTATATCTTATATATTATATATCTAGACAAGGTAACTCTCATCACTTTATGCATCTTATTCTC